GAAGCGGCACGGCGCGGCAGTGGCTTCGCGGCGCGACCGGTGGTGACATTCCCACGGCCGCCCGCGTCGTCGCTGCAGGCCGCCATGAAAGCGATGGGGGCCCTCTGCAGCAGCGATGGCAACAGGAACAGCAAGGGCGCGGCCTCCGCTTCACGGGGCCGTGGTGGTGGGCCGCGTTCGGCGAGCGACGAAGGCAGTTCGCATGCTCTGCAGCTACTGCAGTGCCTCATGCAGGACAGCTGCAGCTGCGCCACACTGTTTGAGGTTGCGGTTGGTGTGTATGAGGGCGTGCAGAAGCTCGCTGTGCGTTGGCGTCGATCAGAGGCGGAGGTCCGCCGCCACAACAAACGGCTGCGCGAGTTGGAGACGGCCGCCGCGACGGCGCAGCAGCAGCAGGAGGAATTGCAGCGGCTGCGGCGACTCAACAGTCTGCTGCACTGCCGCGCGGAGGAGAAGGAAGATTGCGTGCGGAACTTGAAGGAGCGATTGGCCTCTGCACGATCTAGCGTGGCTGAGCTCAAGCAGAAGCTGGTGGACCAGCAACAGCGCCACCAGGAGCAACAAAAGCAGCAGGAGAAGCCGGCTGCAGTTGGAGCAGTCTCCTCGTTGCGGCGTCGCAGTAAGAAGACGGCTGCATTAGTGCAGGAGACGGCACGCGCCGACAAGGCGGAGGCGGCGCTGCGAGTGGTGCTGCAGGAGCTGCACGACGCGAGGGAGGAGTTGCGCCAGGGCAAGTGCCTTCTTGAACGCCTGTTGAGAAGCGGGCAGGACAATTTGCCTCCCACCCACGCTGCACAGCAGCAATGCGTGTTGCCGACGGAGTTTATACGCCTGGAGACGCCACCAAGGGCGGCGTCTCTGGAGATTGATGCGTTGATCATTGGGTCGCCCGAGCCGCGATCACCACAGGAGCCGCAGGCGTTGTTATCCTCCGCAGCGCTGGTGCCTCAGCAGCACGAGGGGGCGAGTACGGCGGAGGCGGATGCAAAGTGGGAAACGACGCCAGCCGCAAGGGAGGTCGCTCGGAGCGGCGTGGAGGTCGGCACCTCAGCGGCCACCGCTGCCGCAACGAACAGCGTGAGGCCGCAGCCAGGGAAGAGTTCGAGGTGGGAGGCGGCGATGTTGGCTGAGGACGGCGTGGACCCGTGGGGGGATTGGTGAGCGCAGCCGCGGGTGGCGACACGCAGCAGGAATTGTGCGGCGCTGCCTGTTTCTGTGTGCGTGGGTATGTGTGTTGGTTGGCTCCGCGCCGTCTGGCACCCGCGGCAGGGGGGGGGAGGGCACGGCGGAGGATCGTTCTTCCCATGTTTTTTTTTTCTTTCTTTGCTACTTCTCTTTAGTGTGTTGTTGCTTCATCCTGTCTTCCTTTTCTTCCGTGCGTTGTTGCGGTTGGGGTCTGCTGGGGCTATCGTGTGGGTGGTTGCGGCCGGGCGTGTGGGGCGGAGGCGCACAATGACGCGTGCGCCTTCGCGCCGTATCGTCTGAGTGAGAAGAAGTCAGCGGGGAGTTTGTCCTTGTCTTTTCTATCGGAGGTGGCAGATACATACGTAATATATATATATAT